TGCTGAACCCCAGAGCCCCCCTGGCCCCCTGAGCCCTCCAGGACTCCCCAAAAACCTCCGAGCCCTACAGGAGCCCCCAAAACCCCTTGGGACCCCAGGGCTCCCCTGCCCCTTCATGGTACCCCAAGATCCTTCTGGACCCCCAAGGCCCCTGAGATCCCCTACAGCCCCCAGCGTCTTTTGGACCCCCCCAACCCCCCAGGACCTCCAAGAGCCCTTCCAGAATCCCACTGAGCCCCCCTGGGATCTCCAACCCCTGGGGCCCCCTTGAATTCCCCAGAGCCCCACAGGACCCCCAATTGAACCCCCCAAAACTCCCCTGAACCCCCTTATCCCCTGCCCTCCACCAAAACCCCTCAAAACAGTTGAGGGAGTCGGTGCAGAGCTCTGCATCCCCACATCTCTGTCCTGGGAGAGTCTCTTGTCCTCCCATCTCCTGGATCTCAGTCCCAGGGGTCTCTGAGCCCTGGATCTCAGCTCTGGGTGGGTCTCTGGTCCTCCCACCTCCTGGATCTCAGCTCTCCGGGGCCTATTGGTCCCCCTTCTCCTGGATCTCAGTCCTGGGGGTTCTCTGGTCTCTCTTGGATCTTGGCTCTGGGGGTGTCAGCCTCTCTGAGACCCACCCCCCTTGGCAGTCTGTGGGCAGGGCTCACCAGCAGGGCTGGAGGCAGAGAAGGAGGCAGAGATGGGCTGGATCGAGGGGTTTGCCATCCTGCTCTCGGTGGCCTGTGTGGTGCTGGTAACAGCCTCCAACGACTGGAGCAAGGAGCGGCAGTTCCGGGGGCTCTAGGGACGACTGGCTGGGCACCACTGTGTGGCTGTGGTTCACCGTGGCCGCCAGGCCCAGCTCCCTGCCACCCAGTTGCTAGTCGGTGATGTCATCCACGTCAAATATGGTAATGGGGAACCCAGGCATCCAGGCTGACCCCTAGGGCAGGGAGGACTTGGGGCTAATGTAGTGTGCATGGGGGAGCTTGACTCCTGACCCCTGGGGCTGCGGGGGGTAGGGGAGAAAGGAGGGCCTGAGGCCAAGGTGATGTGCCTGGATCAGCCTGACCCTTGATCCCTGAGGCTAGGGGATAAGGGGCAAAGGAGGGGCCTGAGACGAAGGTGATGGGTATGGCAGAGCCTGGCCCCTGATCCTTGACCCCTGGGGTGGTAATGGTTAGGGGGCCTGAGGCCAAGGTGGTGGGCACAGGGGAGCCTGACACCAGAGTGATGGGCATGGCGGTAGGACTTTGAACTCTCCTGCCCTCCCAAGGTGACCTGCTGCCAGCTGATGGGATCCTGCTCCAAGGCAGTGACCTAAAGGTGGATGAGAGCTCCCTGATGGGGGAGTCGGACCTCATCCATAAGTCAGTTGACAAGGACCCCATGCTGCTCTCTGGTGAGGCTAGGAGCCAGGCATCCAGGCCTGGGCTGTCAGGGTGGAACTACACCATCTGACCCTGCCTCCTTGCCCCTCCTCTCTCACCAGGCACCCATGTCATGGAGGGCTCAGGACGGATGGTGGTGACAGCCGTGGGGGTCAACTCCCAGACTGGGATCATCTTTACACTCTTGGGTGCTACTGGGGAGGAGGAGAAGAAGAAGGACAAGAAAGGTAAGACTTGGGGGAGGGGTTGATTATGTGCTCTTTTCAGACCATGTCCTCCATGCCAGTCTCTCCTGGCTCCCATGGTTAGCATCAAGTTGAGTCAAGACACCGGTCTTGGGCTGAGTCAAGACTCCATTGGATGTTGACTGTAGACATGTCACCGTTGAGTTGGATGCTGTTGGGTGTTGACATTGGCTCAGGGATTTGTGTGGGCAGCTGGGCATTGTAAGTGGTGCTGTTGAGTTGAACTGGCCACTGGTGTCTTGTGGGATCTGGAGTCATCTCCACCAGTCGTTGGGTCTGCAATGTCTCGCTGTTGGTGTTGAGTTGAGTTAAGATCTTGGCCTTGGACTGAGTTGGGACCATAGATGTATCACCATTGAGTTGGACTCTTGACCACTGGCTTCTCATTGGGTCTGGTGCCTGCCCCACCAGGCACTGGGTCTGAACTCTCCCGGTGGTGTGATATTGGATATTGTTGGATCTAGACCTGTGGTTCTCAACCTATTTGCTATTGTGAGCCACACTTGCAGCTCTCAATGTGTTATGTGGGCCATACACACACAACTTACTTCCTATGTATCCATTCAAAAAATGTTTTAACAGGATATCACAGGGGCTGCAGCAGCGTGCTGATTGGGCTGCATGTGGCCTGTGGGCTGCGAGTTGAGAACCACTGGTTAAGACTCTACTCCACTGGGCGTTGGCAGTAGACAGGATGCTGTCGGGTCTGGGTGTCTGCTTTTGGTATTGAATTGAGTGAAGACCTTGGCCTTGGGTTGAGTCAAGATGCAGTTGTGCATTGACTGTAAACATGTCACCGTTGAGTTGGACTTTTGGCTGTTGGCATCTCATTGATTTTTTTTTTTAATCCAACCCCACTGGTCATTGGCTGTGGATGAGGCTCTGTTGGATCTGGACTCCCCCATTGGGTGATATTGCATATGGTTGGGTCTTGACTCCACCCCACTGGGCATTGGCTCTAGACAGGACTCCACTGGTTTGAATGACTAACTATTGGGCAAAGGAAGCAAATTGGCCTCTTTGGCAAACTGAGTCAAGATGCTGTTGGGCATTGACTATAGTTGTGTCACTGTTGAATTGGACACTTGGCCGTTGGCATTTCATTGGGTTAGAATCCAGCCCCACTGAGTGTTGGCTCTGGACAGGACTCTGTTTGGTCTGGACTCCCCCGTTGGGTGATGTTGGATGTTGCTGGGTCTAGATTCAACCCCACTGGGCATTGATTCTGGATTGGACCCCATCAGGTCTGGATGCCTGGGTGATGGCTTTGAGTTGAGTCCAAACCTTGGCCTTGGGTTGAGTCGAGATACAGTTGCGAGTTGATCATAGATGTGTCACCATTGAGTTGGAATTATGGCCACTGGTTGGGTCTGGCACCAGCTGCACTGCGTATTGGGTCTGGACTAGACCCTGGTGGATCTGGATGTCCCACTGTTGATGTTGAGATGAGTTTAATAAAGACCTTGGCCTTGTGTTGAGTCAAGATGCCATTGGGTGTTACCGTAGATTTGACAGTGCCGAGTCTTGGTTGTCTTGGTTGTTGGCATGCAGTTGGGTCTAGATCCCACCCCAGCAGGCATTGGGTCTGGACTGGACCCTGTTGGGTCTAGATGCCTGGTTTCTGGCCTCCTATTGGAAGCTATCTAGACCAGGGGTCAGCAATGTTTTTAGCCAGAGTGCCAAAAACACCCCAACCTCCACCTACACCTCAGCTTGGTGTGCCAGAGGTGGGGGAATCATAAGAGGCCCAATCCTCATTGCTGACAGAAACTGCACCTGCACCCCCAGGCAGACGGCGAGGGAGGGGCCAAGGTTGCACTGGACCAGCCCTTTCCTTCCCCACCATGCATGTCTGTAGCTGCCATCAGCTGGGGCTGTGAAGCCCAGCACAGCTATTTGCTGCCTGCCTGCCACCTGTTGCAGCTGTCCAGAGCCGAGGCTGGCTGTGGTGTGCCAAGGAAAATGGCCTTGCACGTCAAACTCTGGTACATCGGGATTTGGTGTGAGATGTGCTGGCATTGTGTTGCAACTCTTGGCTGTCAGCACTGTGGCAGGAGCCTGGATGCCTGGGTTCTCCCCTATTTCTGGGGGGAACATAGGGACTGGTGGGTTATAGATGTCTAGTTTCTCTCCCTGTTGTGAGAATGTTCTCCACTCAACCAAGCCATGGGTAGGGAAGGGGGTGGGGCTCCCTGTGTCCATCCATCTGGTCTTGAGGGTCTCACTTGTCTGTCCTGCTACAGGGAAGCCACCAGACAGGGCTATGGAAAATGCACAGAACAAAGGTAACATGTTGCCCCCCAGAGCCAAACCCCTGGGGCCGGTGGGGCCTGGACACCTGGGTTCTCTTTCCCAGCTGGGTCTGACAGTTGGGATCTGGGCACCCAGATTCTTTTCTCTCCCCAGTAGGGTCTGACAGGTGGGATCTGGGTGCCTGGATGCCTGGATTCTCTCCCCAACCCTGGGAGGGCAGTGCCGGGGCAGGTCTGGCAGGATGAATCTGGGTGCCTGAATGCCTGGGTTCACTCTCCTGTTCACTCTTCCCATTGGGGTCCCCAGGGTTGGATCTGGAAACCCAGATGCCTGGGTTTTCTCCCTAGCTTTGAGTCAGAGGTGGATGCCTGGAGGCCTGGGTTCTCTCCCCAGTGGGGGGGTCCTGGGTCAAAGTAGGGTGCCCGGATGCCTGGGTTCTCTCCCAGCTCTGAAATAGGGATGAGGTTTCCTGGGTCGGATCTGGGCACCAGACACCTGGGTTCTCTCCCCATTGGGGTCTGACAGATGGGATCTGGGTGCCTGGATTCTCTCTCCTGTTCTAGGAAGACATTTGGATCTTCCAGTTAAAAAATGGGGGTCGGGTCTCCTGGGTGGGATCTGGGAGCCCAGGTGCTGGGATTCTCTCCCAGCTGTGGGACATAAGTGGGGTCCAGCAGATAATATCGGTGCCGGGACACCCGAGTTATCTCCCCAGTGGAGTCCAGTGTGTGGCATCTCGGTGCCTGGACACCTGTGTTCTTTCCCAGCCCTGGGACACAGATGGGGTCCCCCAGGGGTATCTGGGCACCTGGGTCCCACCTCCTGTCCTCTGCAGACAAGAAGCAGGCCAGGGTGGCAGTGGAGATGCAGCCACTGTGGAGTGCAGAGGGTTGCACCGATGCTGAGGATCGGGACCAGGACCGGGAGCCAATGTGGAGGCGCCTGCCCACCCCCCGCAAGGAGAAGTCAGTGCTGCAGGGGAAGCTCACCAAGCTGGCCGTGCAGATTGGCAAGGCTGGTATGGGCCTGATCCTGGGCCCGGTCCTGGGAGGTTGGGAGGCATCCTGGGCTTGATGCTTGGGCTGGCCATGCAAGTTATCAAGGCTGGTACTGGGTGTGATCTTGGGCCCCATTCTGGGGCAGGGGCCAGATCCCGGGAGGGTGGTGGGGGCAGGGTCTGGCCATGCAGATCAGCAAGGCCAGTACAGGCTTGATCCTCAGGGTTGGGGCCTGGCCATGCAAGTTTGCAAGGCCAGTATGGGCCCAATCCTGGGCTCAGGGCCTGGGGAAGGGATTGGGATCAGGATCATGGGGCAGTGAAAACATGGGGCTGGCAAGGGCGTGCAGGAAACAGATCACAGCTCTACCCTGGGTCTTCGCCCCACACTGAAATCACCCTGCAATCCCAGCCCCAGGCACCTGTCTCACTCCGAGACACTGCTCCTTACCCACCCACAGCCCTATTCCATCCACTCAGCCCTGTGCCCTGCCTACAGGGTTCCCAGCCAGTGTCCATGGAGGCCCCAGGATCACTGGGCAGTGACAATACGGCGCCAGCCCTGGGGGAGAGTCATTTAGGGAGTTTTGGTGAGCTGTTAAAGGCCATGGGCTGACCCAACACATGACAGCTCACCAAAGTTTCCTAAGTGGCCCTCCAGCCCCAGTACTTGCCCACCCCTGTCTTAGGGGGGCCCAGTTCTGGGGCTGGGGGAACAGGGCAGCAGGGGGGGGTCTTTCTTCTCCTTGGGAGCCCTTGATTCTGGACTCAGTCCTGGGCCCATCTGGCTGGCTGTGGGGTCGGTGTACATGGCTGCCCCCCATCCCTGCCCTCCCCAGGCCTGGCGATGTCGGCACTGACGGTGGCAGTGCTGGTGCTGTCATTTGCGGTGGGCACTTTCTCGGGGGGCGGCAGGCGCTGGCGGCCAGAGTGCGTCCCTGTCTACGTCCAGCAGCTCGTCAAGTTCTTCATCATCGGTGTCACTGTCCTGGTAGTGGCTGTGCCTGAGGGGCTGCCCCTCGCCGTTACCATTGCCCTCGCCTACTCTGTAAAGGTCAGGCCCTGCCCCTACTTCTGCCCCCTGGCCTGCTGTCTAGCCACTGGCCATCCAGTGAACCATGGTCCATCTGTCTAATGAATGACCTGTTTGTCCATCTAATGATCCAGCCATTGAGTTGTCTGCCTCTCCATCCAGTTAACAACCTATCTGTCTGTCCATCCATCTCTCCAGTGAACCTTCCATTGAATCATGTCTGTCTGTCCAATGAATGATTCATCCAGTGAATCAGCTGCCTGCTCCTCCATTTAGCCAGAGTTGTCCATTCGTTGGTTCATCCCATGATATCTGTTTGTCTGTCCTATGGCTGGACAGGTGGGTCCTTGTGTATTCAACTAGGGACCTTGTGCACTTGTGTGGCTCTCCTGCATGCTTGGATGGGCCTTGAATGCCTTGCGGGAGGTGGGGGGTGTCTCACATGCTTCACAGGGACCTCGTGTGACTAGGGGGGATCCTCACATTCATGTGTGGGCCTTGAACATGTGGGGTTCTTGCACACTTTACGGGGGGGTGTTATATACTTGATAAAGACCTTGACTACCTAGGCAGGCCTTAAGCACATATGGGGCAGTTTCTTGTGTTTCACAATAAACTTGCACAGTGTGGGGGAGGGGTGGTCAATGCTCACTTGTGCATAGGGCCTCACATGTTTGTGTAAATAGATCTCTTGCTTGCTTTGGGGGCATCTCAAGCTTCACTCTGACCTTGCACAGCTGGGGGGAGGGAATTTTGCACGCACTATTGTGAAGAGTTTTTCACACCCCACGCTCATCCCTCCCTCCCCCAAAGAAAATGATGAAGGACAACAATCTGGTGCGGCACCTGGATGCATGTGAGACAATGGGCAACACCACAGCTATCTGCTCAGACAAGACAGGCACACTCACCACCAACCGCATGACAGTTGTGCAAGCCTATGTGTGCGACACACACCACCACAGCCTGTCTTCGCCGGGCATCCTTCCGCCCACTGTCCTGGACCTCCTTGTCCAGGCTGTGGCTATCAACAGTGCCTACACCTCCAAGGTCCTGGTGAGTGCATGAGCGGGGGCAAAAAGACTTGCACAGCTAGAGTCCTCATGAGTGTACAAGGGCTTGGGGGAGGTGGGGGTTGTATCCAGACACACAATCATCACAGAAGTCCTGGTGAGTGCATAACGGGGATCACGAGGGCTCACATAGCTGGGGTCCTTGTATGTGCAAAGGCTTAGGGGAATGGGGCCATCTTCAGCCATAGCATTCATATGATTAGGATCCTTGTGAGTGCATGGAGGCTGGGGTGACGGGACCACATCAGCAGCAGTACCAAGATCTTCATGAGTTCACAAGAGGGGTACAAGTCTGTCCCAGCAATGGCATTTGCACAGCTGGGATCCTCATGAGTGCACTAGTGCTGGGGGCAGAGCCATCTCTCTCCCCACTAACAGCATCACCAAGGTCCTGGTGGGAGTACAGGAACTTGGGGGCATGAGGGCTTGCTGACTGGGGTCCTCATTAATTCACAAGGGGGGAGGAGCAGTGGTGGGGTTTATGGGTGAGCTCTGGAGGGTCCAGACAGGGCTAGTGGGGAGGATATGAGGGGTCCAGTTGGGGCTGGTGGGGGTGTATTTGGGAGGCCTCTAGTGGAGTCTAGGCAGAGCTGGGAGGGTATATGGAGGATCTAGACACCGTTGGAGCAATATGGGAGGCTTCTGAGAGGTGGTGCCAGCATGGCTGAGGGGCAAATGGGGGGGTCTTTAGTTGGCTCCCAGGAGGGCAAGTGGGGAGATATATGGGGGCTCTAGGGGTGTCCCAGATTGGGCTGGGTGAGGGGAATATGGGGGGTCCTGGCTGGGCTGGAAGGGAATATATGGGGGCTCCAGACAAGGCTGGGATATAGGGGCTCTAGGGCTGGTGGGTGGGATATAGGGAAGCCTCTAGATGATCCTAGCTGGGCTGGAGGGGATATGGGGCCTAGACAGGCCTAGAAGGGGGCATGGGTGTTTTGGGCGGGGTCCAGATATGGTAGGGGGAGGGGATATGGGAGGCCCAGATGTAAATGGGGGCTGGGATATGGGGGCCTCTAGGAGGATCTCATCAAGGTTGATGGGATATGGGAGACTCTAGACAGGGCTGGGGGGGTCCCAGACAGGGCTAATGGAGGGTATATGTGTGTGGGGGGGGGTCCCTGGAGTCACTCAGGGCTAGTGGGGGATGGTATTTGAAGGGTCCAGACAGCTGGGGGCTGGGATATGGGGGGCCTCTTGGAGGGTCCCACCAGAGTTAGTGGGATATGAAGGGCCTGGTAGGTCTGGGGGCTCTGGAGAGGCCAGAGAAGGCAGGCGGATGGGATGTAGATGGGTCCACACAGGACAGTTGAAGGATTATAGGGACTTCTGGACAAACTGGGGGGCACATTGGGCTCTAGGGAGGTCCCAGTCAGGTGTAGTGGGGGGGCTTTGGGGGCAGGTATATGGGGGGCATACAGGGCTGGGGAGGGGATATGGAAGGGCTCTAGATGGCTCCCAGTAGGGCTGGTGTAGGAGGAATGGGGGCCAGAGGGGGGTTCCAGAGGGGTTCGCTAGGAGAGGGGTATGGAGGTTATGGGGAATCTAGATCTAACTGAGGAGGGGATATGGAGGGACTCTAAGGGGGTCCAGCCAGGGCTAGTGGTATTTGTGGGAGTCCAGACAGGGCTGGGGGTGGGATATGTGGGAGCGCAAAGTAGCTCCCAGTAGGCTTGGTGGGAGGGGGATATGGAGCGGGGCTCAGGGGAATCCTCACTGGACTGGTGGACGGGCTCTGCGGGGGTTCCAGATAGGACTAGGAGGGGGGCAGACGGATGGTCTATAGTGGGTCCTCACCCCCTCCCCCCTCAGCCAGCAGAGGCAGTGCGGGGGCTGCCACGACACACGTGGGCAACAAGACAGAGTGCGCACTGCTGGGACTGGTGCTGGCGCTGGGCCGTGACCCTGAAATGGCAAGGGCGGCCATGCCTGAGTCAGTGCTGCTCAAGGTTTACACCTTCAACTCCGTGCGTAAGGCCATGAGCTCCATCACGTGGCACCCAGGTGGCGCCGGCTACCGCCTCTACAGCAAGGGTGCTGCTGAGATCCTGCTGCGCAGGTCAGTCCCTGGGGCCCCTAATGCCCCACCCCAGAGCCAGCTGCAACATGGGTCCCTGTTTTACCCAGCCATGCCCCACCCCAGACTCCCTGTCATACCCAGTCCTTACTCTGACCCCGAGCCAACTGCACATTAGGCTCCTTGTTACACCCAGCCCCTACCACACCCCAGACTCAAGTGCATCCCAGGCTCCCTGTCATACCCAGTCCCTGCTCCACCCCAGAGCCTGCTGCATCCCGGGGTCCCCCCCTGTTCTACCCAGATCCCCCCCACCTCCCAGAGCCAGCTGCATCCTGGCCCCGCAGGTGCACAGTGGTGGTGGGCAGCGTAGGGGAACCGCGGGTCCTGGGGGTGCGGGAGCGAGACGAGCTGGTGCGAGGTGTGGTGGAGCCCATGGCGGTTGAGGGACTGCGCACATTGTGCCTGGCCTACCGCGATCTGCCCGCCACCCCCGAGCCCTCTTGGGACGAGGAGGACCGTGTGGTTGGCGACCTGACCTGCATTGTGCTTGTGGGCATCGAGGACCCCGTGCGGCCGGAGGTGAGCCCTGCCCTAGACCATGCCCCCAAATCTGAGCTCTCCCCTACGTGGCCCTCATGGGCATCAAGGGGAGCCCTCACTGGCAGCGTCTATGGATTATTAAGCCGTGACCCCATCCTGAAACCACACCTGAACAGCAGTTGTAGGGAGTGTGTCCATGCTGACTCTGTCCCTACTCCTTAGGCCGCACCCCCAACATGAGACAGCACTTGCATGACCATTCCGCACATGGAAGACCCCATGAGCTCTCTTTGGCCATGGCTTGGGCCTAAGCCATGCTTCAAGCTCATAGGCCAAGCCCACAGCATGAGAAGTCACCTACATGAATGTCTTGGGCATCAAGGACTCTGTATGCCTTCCCTGGCCACGCCCCAACCTCTAGGTCATGCCCCCTGGCTTTAGGGCCCGCCCTGAGCCTGACCTCACCGCCTCACCCTCCCAGGCCCTGCCCCCACATGCCTTCCATTGCTTGTTCCTAGGTGTTGCCCTCTGGGGAGCTGGGGTGCAAGGTATCGGGTGCCCTAGGGGGCTTTAGCAGGACAGGGGCTCCTGGACACCTGGGTCCACTCCCAGACGCTTAGGTCCCCACCCTGCCACAGGTGCCGGAGGCGATCCGGCGGTGCCAGCGTGCGGGGATCACGGTGCGGATGGTGATGGGAGACAATCTGAGCACGGCACGGGCCATTGCGGCCAAGTGCGGGATCCTGCGGCCTGGGGATGACGCACTTTGCCTCGATGGGCCTGACTTCAACCACCGCATCTGCAACGACTGCGGCCAGGTGCTGTCACCTGGCCCTCTGCCTGGCTGGGGGGTGCTCAGGGCCCTGATGCCTGTGTTCTCTGGGAGAGGGGAAGAGTTTAGTCATTAAAGCAGGGAAGGCTGGGAGCCTGGACACCTCAGTTCCCTGCTCTCC